TATTTTAATTGAAATTTGTTTATTCTAAAATATTCATAAGACTGGATTCTATTCAATAAGAAAATTTGAATAAATGAAATGAATGAATAAATGAAAGTTGAAAAGATTGGATAGAATGTATTTGAAAATGAAAACATTGAAAATAGATTAAAATAATAGAAATACAAAATGAATATTATGAATATGTTATAAATGATAAAAATAATAACTTATGAAATGAATAAAAATTAACAATGTTTTTAAACATATAAAAAGAATGATATAATGTTAATAATGACAATTTCAATTCCTTTGATAAATATACATTAAATATATAATAAATGAAATATAAATAATACATTAACTCTATCATATATTTAATAAAAGTAAAAGATGAAAAAATATACAAAGAAATAATAAATAAAAGTAAATAATAAGAAATGATGAATAAAATATAAAAATACACATTACAAACTCATTCTATAACATTATCAATTTGTTTATTCATTTTCTTCATAAAATCATTTAGTGTCATTTTCTTATTATTTCTATACTACTAAATATCATCTATTGTGTGTGATAATCATCAAATATTCTGTTGTAATTATATACAAAATGAAATTATAACAAACAAACTATTTGAAGAATTTAAACAATTACTTTATATTGAAAAAATAAGAAACAGATTGTTGTGAAATTAATCCATTGTTGATACTTGTTGTTTGCTTATTCATATATTGTCATATGAACAAAAGAATATGTAATAATAACATGTTTATGTTTATTATAGATATAGTATGAAAGCATGATATCCAACTTGTATATTGATGATGGGATGTTGTCTAATCAAATAACTACACATATTACGTCTTTGAAATATATGTGTAATACATTGATTGTTGATTAAACTACTTTAAGTACATTAGAATATTATCTCAATAGATTGTGGCATGATTGTGCAAATACAATGAATTAATGTCTCTTTCATCAACATCACACTTCACACTTTACATCACATCACTCATTTATATCAACACACTCACACGATATTCATGCTAAATAATTTCTCCACACGTTATTTCTCATTATGACTTATCATTTCTCCATTTCTTGAATTTAGACACAACAGTTTCAATGAAAATGAAAGAATAAGAAAGAGATGAAAGAATAAGAATAAGAAAGAGGTGAAAGAAAATGAAAGAATAAGAATAAAAAAGAAAAAAGAGGAACTAAAAAAAAAGAAAGAAGGAGAGAATGAGCAAAGAAGTGTATGAGTATTATTGTATCATAGAAGAGCCTGTTGTAGACATCGAAGCGTTACGAGTCAAAGTGATGAAAAATGGAATACCAAACAACAACAAACTTCGAGCGAAAATATGGAAATTACTACTAAGATATTATAGAGCAGAACAAAAGACATGGGTCAGTAGTGAAGAAACATATTTAATGATATATAGAAAACAAAAGGAAATGTATTATGAAGAAAAGAAAAAAGAAGGAGAAGAAAAGCAAGATGAGAAAGAAATGAAAAATAAAAAATTAGCAAGAATAATTGACAAAGATCTTGCAAGAACAAATGATGGAGAAAATAAAGAAGAATATAATAATGCATTAAGAAGAGTATTAAATATTTTAAGTAATATGCAAGGAGGAATTCCATATGTTCAAGGATTAAATATAATTGCAAATGTATTTTATCATGTATTTCTTGATGCATCAGATGCAGCAACAAAAGAATTTGCAGAAGTATCAACACTATTTTGTATGTATAATTTATTAACTAACATTCGAGATTGGTTTGATAGTACAAAAGATATGACAAACACAGGAATCCGTGCAGCAATGGGAAGAGTTATGTATTGTGTTAAACAAAAAAATCAAAGACTTGCAAATACAATTAATACATTAATAGATCCTTCTTATTATTTATTTAGATGGTTAACATTACTTGGTGCTTCTGAATTACCTATGGATGTAACAATTAAAATGTGGGACAAAATGTTTTGTGAAATTAGAGGAATGAGATATTTATTTGCTTTTTTAGCTTCTATGATTTTAGAAATTGAATGTTTAATTGGTAATTTTGAACTGACTTTAAATTTACTTCAACATTATCCTATTAAAGATTTCGATCGTATTGATTTAACCGCTCGTGTTATTCTTCGTGATGTTATGCGTGTTAATCCAGCTAGAATCGATTTAAATGAAAAACCTGTTGGGTCTATTCACCCTCTTCCTTCTTCAATTTCCTCTCTTCATGATTCTCCTTAAATCTTTTACAACTTCTTATTTGAATTAATCATTTCGTCTATTTATTTCCCTATTATTTCTTTTTTTTCTTCTTATTATTTATTTCACTAAATTCTCCTTTTCTTTCCTTTTTTCTTATATTTTCTTGTTTTATCTTGTCTTTTTATTCCTTTTTTTATGTTATTAATTCTTTGTTTCTTCTTCTTTTATTATGTCTTCTTGTTTTTCTTTCTTCTTCTCTTTTTATATTTCTCACCCCTTTTATTCTTCTTGTGTTTCTTAGCCTTCTTCTTTTGATTCTATTATGTCTCTATTTTATTCTCCCTTGTATTAAATAAACTTACACTTAAATTATTTTGTTCATTTATGCCTTTGTATTTCCTTTCTCTTCTTCCTTTGCTTTAAATCTCACACATCTCCATCTCTTCCCCTCGTCTTTCTTCTTCTATCATCCCTTTAATCTTTTCAACTATCTCTTTCGTCTTTTGACTCTTACCATCAACCATTCCTATGTTCATCCATCCATTTCGATTTTCAATCCCCTCACTTATCCCTTTATGTCTCTCTAAACTACACTACTTCGTTAATCTTCTTTCTCTTCCTTCTTTTCAACTATCTCAAACCTTGAAACTATTCAAAACACTTTCTAATACTATACTTACCATTCTTCCATCATTCTTAATCCATTCATTTGTTAAACTGTCAACTACATACTCCCACTCTACAATAAAAATTTAATTTTAATTGTCATTTTATCTATTATGAATTATTCATCCCTCTAAAAGCAATTAAATTTGTGTTATTTGGTAGTTTGTTTGGTGAGTCTTTCACCGTCTAGTCATTATAGAATGGATAGTAGAGATCCAAAAACAATATCAGTTATATTTAACAATAGTATTATTTAGTATCTTTAATAGCTATCTTAATTCCACTGAAAGTAATGTTTAATATTGTTTTGTAATAAATAGATAAGAGAAAGCTAGAAAAAAAAGGGTGAAAAGTTCTATCTTCGTTTAAGAGAAAATAAAGATTTATTTTCAAGACAATAGACAGAGACTACACGCGATACGTGTATGTTTCATTCAACACATTATACTTAGAATGTTCCGAGCATAACTTGAATTACAAAGACATTCATTAAACACGGATTAACAGATAGTAAGAATCTTATGTTAGTTGATTGAAAAAAATGGGGATATTTTGAATTGAGTAAAAATTTGAATAGTTTTTGTTATTAAAAAACAATAAAACTAAAAAATTTTATAAAAAAGAAGAACTAAACTAATTAATTATTTTGTTATTTTCATAAATTAAAATGACTACAACAAAAGAAATTGTTCCAGTTCATTTTTTGACAACTGGTTGGACATATTGGTTTGACTTAGGGATAAACCAAGTTTTTTCCACTTCTGGAGTTACTGCAACACCTATTTATACTACTCATTCAGTAGAAGAATTTTGGGGATTATATGATAGTATTGAAAAACAAACAACACTACCAAAAGGAATTGATTCATTTTTCTTTAGAAGTGGTATTGAACCAAAAACAACAGAAAACGGTGGAAAATTACAATTTAATTTACAAATTAATACTTCAAGTAAAGCAGAATTTGCTGAAGATGTATGGTTAAAACTTGTTTGTTTTCTCAGTTTAATTATTTACTCAAAAGATAGCCAACATAAAGCAAGAAAAATTAAATGGTAGATGTTGTCTTGTATTGGAGAAACAATTCCACTAAGGGATAAAGTAAATGGAGTTTCATTTTCATTAAGAAGTTTTGCCAAATTAACTGTTTGGTTGAAGACAGATAAAGAAGATGATTTAAGAAAAGTTATATCATTTATGAGAACAACATTAAACATACCAACATCCATTGACTTCCATTTCTTTTCTCATAGAGGAAAAAATACTACTATTAAAGAATTAAATTGAGCAATATTATCTTAATTCTTTCTTTTTTGTTTGAAGTTTTTGAACTTAAAAATATCAGATAATGAAAACTAATTCACCATTCAATAACTTCAATAAAATACTCTTTATTGTTTGTTTGTGGTATTATATGAATTAAAAACCTTATTGAATTAATTTAATAGCCTTGTTGGTCAGTAGGAAATGTAGGACAGTTATGTGCTGACTTGATTATTAATTCATTAGAACTTAAACAACAAGTCATTCTTCAACATGAATTTCTCATTCCATATGTTGCACCACCCATTTATGACCACATTAAATCACCAACATTTGCTGCTACAATTTATGGGAATGAAGAAATGAATGTTATTCAATTACGATCAACGTTTATTGCATCTAGATACCTTGAATTTTGTAGAGACTTTGCTGAATGTATTAAATCATTACAACCATCTGAAGTTATATTTTTATATTCTTCTTCAAAAGGAGAGTTAGGGGATCTTTTATTTAGTAGTGATAAAGTTATTGAAAAATCACCAATAACGAAAGAATTATATTCAACTCTATCAAAAAGTAATCTTAAATGTAAGATTGTTCATTGTACTTGTTATGAAGGTGATAATAGACCAGATGCTATTCAAATGTATTCTTTATTAAAGAAGGAATATCAATGGAATAAAGAAATTAAACAAGTTCAGTCATGGAATAATTCTACATTATGGGGTGAATTAGATGAAGATGTTCGAGCTGTTATGTTTTAATTGAAGAATTTAAAAATAATATTTTAATAATAAATAAGTTATATATTATTATATTAACATTTTGTGTCTTATCAAAAAAGACTAAAAAAGTATAATATATGAAAAACATTCCTACTACTCAACAACATGCAGAAAATATTATGAAATTAGAAGAAAAATGGAAATATAGAAAAATCCCACTTCCTACAGAAGATAAAATGGTTATGTTAAGATTGAGAGAATTAGGAGAACCAATTATGTTATTTGGAGAAGAATTTGAGAGTAGAAGAGAGAGACTGAGAGATGCATTAGCTAAAGTTGGTTCTGACCAAGGATTTCCACAATGTGCACTTACAGAAGAAAAAACCGACCAACTAATAACTAAATTACATTATACTGATGGTGGAGAAGAATTAATTGGAATAAGAAGATGGTTGTTAGTTGATAGTTTACTTAGAGCTAAGTCAAGAACGAAAGAAGAAATTCATTATGTTCAACACAAATATGAGTCAATACATAATGTTGGTTCAATGATTGGAGATGAATATAGAGTTTTACGATGTAAAGTAGGAAGAAAAAGTGTTATCACAGGGGGTGCAGATGGGAAAGTCAGAGTATGGGATTTAAGTGATTGTTCAAAAATAAGAGAAACGAGTGTTGAAGGACAAATTTATTCATTAAATTTTTCACCTATTGAAGAAGCACCAATTGATTTTGTTGTAGGAACATCACAAGGGTATGTCAAATTATTTGCAAAAAATGAAGAACAACCACTTGGTATTCAAAGTCATACTGATAGAGTGAATGCGGTAGAATTTCATCAATCAGGAAGATTTTTACTAACAGGGTCTCATGATTCAATGATAAAATTATGGGATTTAGAGAATGGAGGATGTGTATTAAAACAAACTGGACATAGTGGTTCTGTAAGATGTATTGGATGGCAACGAGATGGTGGGATATTTGCATCAGGAGGAAATGATCGTATTGTTCATTTATTTGATGTTCGAAATGGTAAACAAATAGGAAAGTATGAAGGACATGCATCTACAATAACTAGTCTAGACTGGCATTGTAATGGAGGAGTATTAGTCACAGCATCTGATGATAATACAGTAAAATTATGGGATATTCGAATGGAAAGATGTGGATATACTATTCCAGCACATAGTACTATTGTCACAGCCGTAAAATTAAGTCATCAAGGAGATTTATTACTAACAAGTAGTTTTGACCATTCCATTAAACTTTGGTCATTAAAAAATTGGAATTGGAAATTGGTATGTAAATATGAAGAACATTCAAAGCCAGTTGTAGATGTAGATTGGTTAGAGGATGATGAAGGATTTATTTCGTGTGGTTTTGATAAAACATGGAAAATATATAAGACTGAAGAATGAATGAGTTTTTTGTTGGTAAAACTTCAATTTGATTAAAAAAAAAGAAATTAAAAATCAAAAGAATAAAGTTTTTTATTGATTGGTATATGAGCAAATTGACTTTATAAAAATCATTTGATTTTCCCGATTATTTACTCCAATACAAATAATTAGAATCTGTCTTTACAACTTTTTTATGTTTCTAAAACTATAAAAATTGAACTAATTATCTTTATTTCATTATGGCTGATACTAAACACAAAATAGTTATGGTTGGTGATTTTTCTACAGGTAAAACTTGTATGTTAATTAGACTTTCACAAAACTTCTTTGATACACAACATAATCCAACTATTGGAGCATCATTTTTGAAAGAAGTAATGTTTGTTAGTTTTTAGTTAATAAATTAAATTAAAATGATTAAAAAGAAAGTGAAATAAAAATAATACTTCTAGTGAACTTGAGAATGGAAGTAAAGTTGAAATGAACTTATGGGATACAAGTGGAGATGAACGATTTAGAAGTGTTATGCCTGTTTATTTTAGAGGAGCAGATTGTGCTATTATTGTTTATGATGTAACTCGTCGTGAAACATTTGAAAGTCTAGATTATTGGATTGATTTAACACGTAAAAGTGGAGGAGATGATATTGCTATTGTTCTTGTTGGTGCAAAATGTGATTTGAAAAAAGAGGTTAGTGATGAAGAAGCTCAAAATTACAGTAAACGTGTTGGATATCCACTTATTTTATGTTCATCTTATAGTGGTGAAAACATTACAAAAGTATTCCAAACTGCTGCTTCATCAATAAAAAAATCAGCTGTGACAGTTTCAAATAACTCAGGTGTTAGTATCAATGACCCATCACCAAACAAGAATGCAGGGGGATGTTGTTAGTTTTAATTAACATCAATAATAAAATGATTTTTTTGTTTTATTTATAGATTTTGTATATAAAACATTTTTTTATTTAAATATCAAAAAAAAAACACAAATTAAAAAATAAAATTTTTTGTTCAAAACAAACTGAAAAAAGATTATTTAAAATAATTGATGGAATATATTTCTCCAGAAGGATATCGTCTTGATGGAAGAAGAACAACAGAAATGAGAAAGTGTGAAATGGAAATTAACTTTTTAAGCACTGCTGATGGATCAGCAAGAGTAAGAATGGGTAATACTATTGTTGAAGCAGTTGTATTTGGTCCATTAGAAGGAAGAAGAAGAAATAGAGAAGGAGCTGAGCTTATGGTATCATATTCACAAGCTACATTTGCAACAAGAAAAAGAAGAGAACAAATGCACGATAGAACAATGATTGAAACAGCAGAGTTATTAAAACAAATGTATGAACAAATTATTATTACAAAACTTCTTCCAGAAACTATGATTGATTTAAGAGTACAAGTTATGCAAGATGATGGTAGTGTTACAGCGGCTGTAATTAATGCATGTACATTAGCATTAATTGATGCAGGAATACCAATGATTGATATTGTAGCAGCAGCAGAAGGAGGATATATTGATGGAAAAATGGTAGTTGATATGAATAAAGATGAAGAGAATGTTGGAACAGTATTTAATGTTCATACTGCTATAATGCAAAAGAGTGGTGCTGTGGCATTACTTCAAACAGAAGGAAAAATGCCATTACAAAGACTAGGAGATTTATTATCTATAGTAGAAGAAGGAGCAAAAACAATAGGAATTGAAATGAAGAAAAGAATTAGAGAATATGGTAATGAAGTGTTATCATATCAAACTATTTGATCTTAATGAATATTGATTGGTTATGATATAGTTTCATTCTTCGTTTCTTTTATTAAAATTGAACTTATTTTCTCTATTTTAAATTTCTTGTATGACTACTCCACAAGACTCTATTAATAGTCAACAATTATCTTCACCAGCTTTCAAAGAAACTAAAGAGTCTGAGTTTGATGATTATTCACAAAATAGTCATTTTATTAATCCCAATATTATTGCATTAGGATTAGCTAAAATAGGAATAAATTCTGTTCTTGATGCATTAGATAAAGGAGAAACAGCAAAAAATGAATCACGACAACCAGTTTTACCTAATAAAGCATATGAACAATTAAATTTATTTAATACAACTCATAAAGTAATTGAAGAGAAAACAGGAAAAAAATAACAAAGAAATAATCATTTGCATTAGATTAATTCAATTTGTAATTTCATTAACAATTAGTTAAACAATATAACACGACTTATTTTCTTTATAATAGTTTTTATAAATCAAATCTACAAGATATTCTACTGACTCAACAACTTGGCTATGTTGTTTAGCAGTTAATGCAAAATACCTCATGGAATGTTCTGTAGCAAATTGTTGTGCAATTCCATTTTGAACAACAACAGAACCATCCGACTTATTTCCAATAAGAATAAGACTCATATCCTGTGAGCCATATTTTTTGATATTTGTATAAAGTTGTTGAAGTGCATCAAAAGATTCTTGAGATGTTCTATCAAATACTAACGCACATCCATGACATTTTTGGAAATAAAAATAATTGTTTGGGTCATCTTTTTCAATTCCCATTGAATCAACCATCTCAATATCAAATACGTTTTTCTTTCTTTTATCTTCTTTGTTTATTTTGTCAATTGAAACAGGATTTTCATGAAATTCTTCATTACAATATTGTTGTATTAGTGATGTCTTTCCAACACCAAATGTTCCAACAAAGACAATTCTCATTTTAGGTTTATTGGGTTGTGTTTGGTTCATGCGAAAATAAATGATAAAATTATTGTTTCTTTTTGTCTCTTTTCAAAAAATAAATATTTATCTGTGTTATATATAACGTAAATAAGAAAGAATAAAAGTATTGTTGATTAGAACTACATAAATTTTATAATGATTCGTCTCCAACATAATAAAGTTGATAACGATCCTTTGTTGATTAAAGCAAGAGAAATGACAAAAGAATTCCATGAACATAGTGGTAATTGTATTGTTAATGGAGTAACATATACATACTCTGCAATTGAATTTTTTGAAGGAGCTCAACGAATGTACATTGCTACAATTAATAGAAATGGTCAATTGTCAAATGGTAAAGCAAGTTGTTTACCTGAAGCATATGCTCAAGCATTTAAATCATTTATTCAATAAATAGAGAAATATTAATTGAAAAAAGAAGATATAACCAACAAATTAAATTAATTTTAACTTGATAAACATATTTTTTAGTTATCATTTTTCCAAAGAGATAATGTTCATTATTGCTTTGTGTAATTTCTTAGTACTACGTACTAATTTATCATATTGTTCTATAGGAACAAGTTTATATTCACCACTCTTAACCATCCTAATAATTTCTTCTTTATTAATTTTTTTATTAGTCTTTCTTGGTTTCTTTTCTTCTTTATCTTTTTTATTTTTCTTATCTTTTTTATTTTTCTTATCTTTTTTATCCTTCTTGTCTTTTTTATCCTTCTTGTCTTTCTTATTTTTCTTGTCTTTCTTTTCTTTTTTATCTTTTTTATCTTTTTTATCCTTCTTGTCTTTCTTTTCTTTTTTATCTTTTTTCATTTTCGGTTTCTTTTCTTCAGAAGAACTGTCTGATGACTTATGCTTTTTATCATCACTACCTTCTATGTCCATATCATCAACTGGTTGTTGTTTTTCATGAAGACAAGTGGAGGCTTCTTCGTTGTTGGTATGTTCAGTAGATAGTTCTTCTGCATTAGCATTCTCAAATCCCTCAAAGAGATCGTTGATTTCATGAATACCTTCTGGTGAAGGAGAGGTTGAATTGACATTAATTTCTTGAATGAGAACCTCATCATCTTTCTTTGGTGTTTCAGTCATTGTAATACAGATCTGATATACAAAATTCCTTTCTCTTTTAAAGGTTTTTCTCTCTTAAATTAGACCAATTTCAAAGTATTTGTCATCTTACCCTTTTTTATCCCTAAATTATAATTATTTTGATTAAGTTTTTTTTTAATTCATTTAGTTTTTTATGATTTAGTTTCGTTTTTTTTTCACCTCAATTGGGAGTGTTTTTCTCTAAGATAGTATTTTAAGTTTGTTAAAATAATTTACATAAACATAACTCTTTATTCCATTATAAATCCGTAAAATTTTTATTTTTTAATTACTATTATAAAAAGATTGAATAAATTTAAAAATATATTTTCTATATGAAAAGAACAAAAACGAATAACACACAAAGACATTATTTAGAATGAGAAATGGTTTCAGTAGAATCCATGAAAGATTCAATCTCTAAACAAATCAATGGTATATCGTCTGGTGTTGTAAAGTTATGAGAAATCATTAATACCCAACAAATAATACGATTTAATAATGTTATTGCTTCAATTCTTCGAATACATTCATCAATTTTGATTGGATCATTTTCAACATGATTTAATTCTTCATATGTAATAGTGATATATTTATTTGATTCAATAAATTTATGAATTACATTAAATGTTTCTTTTACATTTCCTTTTTGAATTGCATTAACTATTTTTTCAATTGATTTTGATACTTTAAAATTACTTCTAAATTTCGGAAGATTGATTGGATTAAATGATGATGGAAATTCTTTAATATTTCTTTTTGCTCTTAATTTTTTAAGTTTATACAACATAACACTATTTTCTATTATTTTATTAATTGTATTTATAACTCTTTGTGACCTTCTTGTATGGTTATCAGTTACAGGAAAAGTTTGTAAGAAAGTAATTAATGCAATTGCCATTATTAAAGATTCAGATAAACGTTCTTCTACTAGTTTGATATTAACGTCATGTTCAAGTAAAAATTCAGATAAAAACATTGCTGAATGAAGTATAAGTTTTGTTGTGAAAAGTGATGATAAAACAAATGATTGTTTTAAGTCAGAATTTGAAGCAATTTCTTGAAGAATAGAAAGTAATTCATCAGCATTATTACTTAATTCAATATGGTTTGTTGTAATACTTGATAATAATGGACAAATAACAAGAATAAGTTCTTTAGTTATAATAATAAAGTCTTTATTAATAAATGGGTGTTTATTTAATGCATTCATTGTATCATTAATTTGTTTTAATACATCAATAACTTCTTTTTTACTATTTTTGATAAAATCAACATCACTTAAAACTTCTAATAAGAATTGAATCTTAGCTAAAGTTAATTGAATTGCCATATTACTTTCAATAACATCATTATATCCTCTCCATGAAAAACATACATAAATAGTTAAAGATAATATTCCAATCATTTCATTTCCAATATCATTCATAACAATTGGATTTTGTGATACTTGTGAATAAATTAACTGAACTAAATTTCTAACTTTTTCTCCTCTTTTTTCATTAACTAATTGACTTCCTTTCATATCTTTAAAAGCATATCTATAATATTTTTGAATAATACTTAACATTTCTTCAGTTGGACAACTTTGAATTAAAATTGATATTAAAATTGATACGTTATTTTGTATTGCTTTTAATGGAACTGCATCTATCATTAATGAAGATGAAACATCAGTAATTCTTCTATGAATTTGATTAACACCTACTGATAATAATACTTTTTGTAATTCTCTAACATATCTTACTGGTAATTCTGTTTTTCTTTTTGGATTTTCTGAAAGAATATCATAAACTGCTCTACTAATTTCATTTCCTACTGTTTCTAGAATTATACCAACTGCTGTTGGATGGAGAGAAATATGAGCATCTCCAGATACAGCATTTTTAATACTAATAATTTTATGATATAAATATCCAACAATATTAATATTAAATGAAAGTCCTAATAGTAATTGTCTTAATACAGTTAGTGATGTGTTTTTCAGATTTTTAATTGTTTCTTCATTGACTGGATCAACAACATCTTTTAATAAACTGCTAATTGACCCTCTAACTTGATTTGGTATTCCTTTTAATTGCATACCACTAAATCCATAATATTTAACAAGACATAATTTTGCTGATTGTGCAACCCATACTATTGGTAAACATAATGAATATACATTTCCTAATAATTCTAAAAGTTCATCAATTTGGGTTTGTGTGTCAGGAGTTGTTTTAATTAATGTAATAACATTAAGAATAAGTTGAACAAAATATCCTCCAAATCTAAGATGAGACTGGCAGAATGTACTAAATGAATTTTTAAATTTAGTTAATAAACGAATTGGATTTTGAGCTGGTTTTTTAAATGAAGGTAGAGATGTGTCTGGATTATTTGATGAAATAGGTTTAATTATTCTTTTATTAAGACATGGTTGTAATGGATCAGAAAATGACCTTTCTCTATTTTTTTCAATGAATCTACTTGGAGTTAAAGATTCTCTATCTTCAATTGATATTTCACATAATAAATCATATAAATCAGATAAATGAATATGAGTTGAAACAGTGTCATCAAAAATAGAATAGAATGAATTAACTAATAAATACATTCTTGGGAATAATCTAAAATATCGATGAAGATCATTAAAATACTTTTTACTTTTATCTACACTTTCATTCTTCAATGATTTAATTGTTTTATCAACTAAATCATTAACAAGTGTTGTTTGAACATCAAATAATCTAAAAATTGTAGAAAGAGATTCTGAAAGATTTTTTAAATATTTTTTAATTCCAAATAATGCAGTTTGATCAAGATTTTCTGGAGATGATTGTATTAATGCAAAACATGAATGAAAAGGTACTAATGGATTAGAAATATTTCCAAGATTATTTTTTGATAAATAATTAACAAATTGATTTGACTCTGAAATAAGGGGAAGAAGTTGTTTCATCCCATTAATTAATTCATCTTTAGTTTGATAAGTTAATAAATCATCTAATGCAAAAACAATTCTTAAAAATATAGGATGAAGAACTTCAACAAATTTATTATCTAATGGTTTAAAATCATCTGCTCTCAATTTTCTTTTAGAAACTTGTGAACGAATAAGTTGAATTGGTTGATTAAATGCTGTGTCATAATCAATATTTTGAATAACACATATTAATTGAACCCAACCAATAAATCTTTCAAAATACCTTTCACTTCGTTGTAAAACTAACCAAAATGTTTTTGTATGTTGGTCTCTAAATGAAAGTAATAAAATTTTACCTAAAACAGCTCGTAATTGATAATATGCAATCATTAAATGATAAACTGGACCAATAACACAGTGAAGTAAAGTATGTGTATAATTTATCATAGAATGATTGTCATTAATTTGAATAGCCTGAGTAAATGATTTAATAATATCTCTTGTTATAAAATTTGATGGAGAATCATTAAATCCAACATATGAACTACATGAATTACAAAAATCATCAAAATTCTTACCTTCTTGTTGAATTAATAAAACCCCTTTTCTACAAATTAGAACTCTATCATCTGCAATATTTAATACCATTTGAATAACAGACGTTATATCAATTTCTTCACTTGTTTGATTAAATAATTTTAAATTTCTTTCACTTAAATAATATAATTTTTGTATTATATCTACAACATCCATAAAAGTACTTCCTTGTTCATAATAACCTCTAACAATACATTCTCCTAAAAGTTTATTAATTTTAGTGTTAATTGATCCATTTCCTTTTTCAAAATCTGTGATACTATGATAAAAATCAATCCAATCATATGTTGTATATTCTATGTCTCTTATTGTCTCATCAATTCTCCCATTTAATTTATCTGTTTCTGAAGATAATTTAATTAAATCAAAATGTTCTTGTTCTGTAATATCCATTACTGATGCATATGCCATTAATAAGAATATAATACTTCCTTTATCAATTATCTTTAATTGTTTTTGACATAATAAATAATCATGAAGAGAATAAGTTGCATAAGAAGGTGATGGAGAAAATTGCAGTTGGTTCCAATAAGCAAATAATTCAATCATCCATCTTAATCTACCACTTAAATTTGTTGGTTCAATTTTTGTAACACCTTTAAAATATTCATTCATAAAAAAAGATGTATTTGAAACAGAGTCTTGTGTTAAAGATGCACTTCTTGTTGATAATGTCATATATCTCATTATTCTTAAATAGTCATAAATACAATCTTCTATTTCTTTATAATCAGATAATGTGCATTGACCTAATGCTTGAATATAAATAATTCTTTTATACATAATGTTTAATAATCTAAATTGTGTTAAAGCTAAACGTTTTAATGTTCCATATGTTTGTAAAATATTTACAATCCATTGAATAAAATAAGGTGCACTTTTTCTTGTTAATTTACCAAAATGTGATAATAATTCTCTTTGTTTATCAAATAATTCCATAAGTTGAGGATCTCCTGAATTTCCTAAACATCTATCAATAGCAAGCATAAAATTTTGTCTATTAGAAGAAGATAATTGTTCTTCAATTATTGCTCTATTAATTTGGTCTTCAGTAATTTTTAAAAAACTTTCAATAGGAGCAAATTCTTGAAGAATAGAATCTTTATTTTTATACCATTCTTGAGCTGTGCCAAAAATGTTTTGTTTGTCATGTTGTTGAAAATAATAAATTGTATTGATAATATTATTTATAACATTAATAGGTTCATTCCAATTATTAAGATAATTATTAATTGAAAGAGTTAATTCTGTTATAATAGTATTAGACGTATTTTCCCTTTCAAATGATTCTAAAATTTTTTGAAGAAGTTTAGAAACAGTAATAAATAATTCAAATTCTTTAATCATAGCACATTGTTGTCCACAAGTTAATGTTCTTTTAATAAATGTTTGAATAACAGAAGCAATAAGAACTAAAAATTGAAAAAGTTGATAATAAAATTCTTCAAATATTGGTTCATGAATACTTTTAAATACTTTTAATCCAAATTCTTTCCAATTTTGATTTTTATTTTGTTCCATTTGATGAAGACTAATTTTAAATTGATTTGTATTTTCTTGTGCGTTTCTAAATACTTCAATTTGACCAATAAATCCTGTTGGTTTAAAATGAAAAATATCAAAATATTTTTTTTCTTCAGTTAACATTTTATCATTTGTCATAATCATTTCTTCTATTGTTTGAGCTTCTTTAATATTTTTTATAATTGGTGTTAATTCAATTGGAATATTATTTATTTCTGTATTTTGACTATGACAAATTTTTTTCATAATAAATATTTGTGAATATGCTTTTTGAATTGTAGTTACATTTTTATCAAATCCATGGTCTATTACTTGTTCTATTGCAAAAAATGGATGTTCACAATTTAAAACAATACTTTGTGCTACTTTTAATATAAATGAACAAATAGATGTTTCAATATGTTTATCTTGATTTTTCTTGTCAATTGCTTTATTTAAGAGTTTAATAATTTCTGTTGTTTGATTGTGTTGAAGAAATGAAATTCCTGCAATAACTACTAAGTCATTATAAATTAAAGGAAGTTGTTCATCTAAACAATGGTCAATGTCATTTGTTTTATTTCCAAAATTAATCATTTCAATAATATGTTTTTCAATCACTTTATATTCTTGAGATAATATTTTTCCTATAGAAGGACTCATATAATCAAATAATTGTATACTACGTAATAATAATTTTAATTTATTCCAATATCTTTTAAGTGTTTTTCTAACTTTTTCTATTTGATTGTTTGAGTTTCTAAACATGGAAATTGTTTGTAATAATACATTACATGATTTATAAAATTTAATACATTCTTCTGCAAAAACTTTAACAGATGGAATGAAAAGTTGAATTTTATTAAGAATATGTTGTTTCATTCCATTCATTAACTCTTCATTAAATTCTATTTCATTCATTTCAAGATATGGAATTCCATCTTCTAAATTAAATTCTTTTATTTTATTGAAGAAAATTTGACAATTTTCTTTTGTAAATTGATTCATTGTCATATCATAAAGAATTCTTAAATGTTCAATTCTTCTTAATCTATTTTGATCAATTAAATCTTTTTGAAGTAAGAATTCTCTTATAGTTTTATTACAAAATACTCTATCTTCAATTCCTGTATCATGAATTATCCTTTTAATTTGTTGAATTACCATATCAGAAGATATTATATCCTTTTTTTCAATAACTTCATAACACATTTGACGAAAAGGAAGAATAAAATTAATAATACTTGAATGATATAAATCAAATTTCCATTGCATTATATTTGTTAATTGAGGATATTCATTTAATTCTCTTCTTGTTTCAATTTCTGCTAAAATAGCAGCTTTAACAATATCAGATATTTTTCTAAAATAAGTTTCATATAAATTAAGTGAAAGAAGAAGAGAAGTAGGTTGATTTTTAAATTTATCAAAAAAGACAAATCCATCTACAACACTTTCACATATGTCAATAATTTTTTTATGTAAAGAATTAGATTTATAACTTAAAACACCATTAATTTTTTCAAGAATAACTTTAGTTTGTTCAATAGTTAATTCATTACTTGAGGCATTAAGATTGTCATAAGAAAATGTTTGAAATTTATTAAGTAAATCATTACATGATTCTAATAAATTAGTAATACGTTTTGATAATAATGTATTTCCTTTATTTGATAAACAAATAGTATCATCTGTAAAAGAGAAAAAGACATTATTAATTTTTACAACTTGAGAAAATATTTTTCTAGCTTCAAGCATAATTTTTTCACATGATTGTTGATTTGATAATATTTGGTTTTCATCATTTGTTTGATTCTTTACAAAATAATAGAAAATAATAATTTGTTTATAAAAGAATAACATCTTATTTGAATAATAACTTTCAAAGTTTATTAATTTCTGAATAGCAAGAGTAAATGAAGAAAGAATTATTGTGACTCTTTGTTGAATAATTTTTGTATCTTGAATTGATGTAACTGAAGAATAATCTTCATTTAATGTACCAATAAGATGAAGAATTTTAATAATATTTTTATTTTTAAAAGAATTTATTGATGATATTAATCTTATTATATTTAAAGCATTATCAAGAGTTTTTCTAATATGATAATTAATAAGTTGAAATTCTATTCTTGTAGAAGAAGAAGAATCTGAATTATATCTAATTGTATTAAATAATTTAAATGAATATACTACATCAATAATAATATCTTCAATATACTCTTTTTCTGTAGCTCTTTTAATAAACATTTCTTTCAATGTTTGTAAGACTTCAATTGGAATATGAAGATTATTATAAGTTGATAATACATCATTACAATATCCTTTAAATGCAATTTCAAAACAATCAACTGTTTCTCTTGTTTGTAAAAAACAATTAACAAGACTTAATGACCTTATAAAGAATGATTTAATTTTTGTTTGTACTGATGAACTTTTTGTTTCATATCCATCAATTAATTCATTTATTTCAAGATACATTCTACTCCAATTTACATATGGTTTTACTAAAAAAATTAAATAAACAAGAAGTTTATTATATGACTGTTTTATATAAAAGAATGTACTTTCATCCATTGCACTTAAATCAATTGTTGGAAGTGTTCTATCAAATTGTTTTGAATAAGAATATAAAATAAGCATTATAACTGCTTTACATGAAACAGAAGGATATAATAAATTTAATGAAAATTTATCAACAAGACAAATATATTCTCTAAAAAATGAAAACATTCCACTAATTGCATAACAATGTTTTGTTAAATCTGTTCCTGAAACATAATTTTTTAATTCATTAGAAAGTATTGCAAAATCTTCAACTAAACGTTCTATTGAACAATTATTTAAACATACTTCAACTATTAATCTATTCCATCTTAATAATTCTTGTGTATATGCTTCTTTTGCATTATTATCAAGTTTTCCATTTGTTTGTTTTAATAATTGAATGAGAGGTAATACCATATCTGAAAATTTATCAAACATTTGTGAAATTGATAATATAGAAGGATGAACATTTGAATTAGAATCTGATAATAAATATTCTACTATTGTTGATATTTTATTAGACTCTTCTTTAAGAAGATTAAAGTGTGTTTCTTGAGTTTGAATATTTTGAGAAAAGAAATTAACACAAAATGAACTAACTGTATTACATAATGTAAGTATAGTAAAATTTATTCGTTGTTGAAGAGAAAAATATTTAAATGAATATTTATATGATGTTAAAATTGTAGATGTTAATTTAAATAAATCACTTTCAAGTTTACATGCAGCATTTAAACAATCATTCATACTATTTGGGTTTTGATGATTATTATGTGTTGTAGCAATACATGTTGCTTCTAAAAGAATATAACTACAATACAGTGGTAATTCTTCAGTAACATTTGTAATTGGTATTGAATTGGTAAGTATTGATATTGCATATGCCATACATTCTTTTAAAAATGTTGGTAATGTAAATCCTCTATAAAAAACATGTTTTTGAAACATATTACACATCATATCAAGTAAATTATGTGAATATTCCATTGCAACTTCACCAATATATTCACAACAATCAATAACTTCAGTTAAAATTGTTTCACAAATAGTAAGAAGTTGTTGAAGTATATTTTGAAATTTTTCCATAGACTCATATTCAATTGAAAATACTTCTAATTTATCAAGTAGATTAATTAATGTTCTATCTACTGGTTTTCTTTCTCTACAACAAACAACAAATCTTTTAATAGTTTCTTTTATTGTAGAAATTGCTTGTGGTCTTTGTAGTTTTGTAAAAGAATCAAATTTTTGAGAAATTAAATGAATTGTAATAACACAATGAACAATCTCTTCATCTCTTCCTTTCCAAATAGCTGATGAAATTAATTTTTGAATTTGATTTTGAAATTTATCGGTTAAAGTAATATATTGATCTTTGGTAATTGTTTTCTCAATTAATTGTTTTAATCCACCTAATAAATCTTTCTCTAACTTTTCAATTTCATAACTATCAAAATCCTTTGGTAAAAGAAGCATACAATATTGTTTTACAACAGAATTAATTTGAATTAATCGTTTTAATGTAATAACTATCATAGAAAAGTTATTATCATCAATACATTTTTCAATTGTAGTAAGATGATTCTTCATTCTAGTTTGTGCCCAAAGTAATATATCCATTTCATCTTGAGATAAATTATTAATAATAGCAACTCCTTCTTCAAGTTCACAAATTAATGTTGACATTTTTGATTTATTCCCACTTATAATACATTCACTTACTTTTTCAAGTATTTTAGTAAAGATAGAAAAATACCATTTTAATTGACTTTGTTGGAATTTAATATCTACAAAATTATCTTCAATATTAATAAAATGAAATGGAAGAAAAAAATGGATTTGTTCACATAATCCCAAAAAATCTTTTGCAAATCCAACTGGTTTTCTATTTAATGGAACACAATGGTCATTTGCTATTGTAATAGTAAAATGTACAAATGCTTTAAATGCTTCACTTTGTAATTGTTGATAACTTGTTTTAAGCATTTCCATTATTGGTGTTAATGGTGTATTAAATTTAAATTCTGGTGTAAAATGTTGATGTTGTCCAAAGAGAAATAAAATTGAATCAAAAAATGATACTATTTGACGATATGTTGTTATTAAAGAATCAATAATTGGAGATGATTTTGTAGTATTTAATGTTTCAATTAATAATGATGGATGATAATTAAATTGACTAAGTTGTTGTTGAGTTTCAATAAACCAATCATTAATTAAATCATTTTGAAAAAGAACAAATACAGGAGATTGGTATTTCTCTTGCATTTTATTAAGTTCTTCTAATGGATTTCCAATTCCATAAAATGCTTTTGACAAAAATGCTTTAATAATACTAAATAATATAGAAAGCATAGTTCTACAAAAAATATAATTTAGAGTATAATACAATGTAGTATGTGTAACAACTGCTCTATGAATATAAATTTGATAATTGATTAAATCACTTTGTTTTAAATTAGTTAAATCTCTAAATTCTTTTGATAAAAGCATTTGATGTGCTTTAGTTCTAAAAGGTAATTATTTCTTTTTATGAAGTTAATAGAAATAATAACAAACTTAAAGAAGAAATTTTCAAAATTCATTTTAGTTGAAACGTATGGATATTCTTTTTCAACAAGATGTGTAATTCCTTCAAGCCATTTAGAGAATTCTGTATTGTTTTCATTTAAAGACTTTTGTAATTCTTTTATTGTTTTATTATCAGGCTATTCTTATTTAATTTCTATTTCTTTTTTTTATCACTTCAAATAAAAAATAAAATCAAACTTCAGTTTCATTAATTTCTTTTGTTAAATCAATATATGTTTGTAATATTAAAAGAATAACATCTTTGATGTGGTAGGATGGATTAATGTCCATCAAAACTGATTAAACAGTTTAATATTTATTTAATGAAATAAAAAATATAAAAATTATTATTTAAAACAAAAAAAAAGAAAAACATTTAAAAAACTGAAAATCATTAATTATCATGGAAATTGTCGAACTCCACAATGAACAACCAAAAGAACGTACTTCTTCTCATTCACATATCACTGGACTTGGTTTAGATGCTAATGGAAATGCAACAAATAATACATGTGGACTTGTTGGACAAGAAAATGCACGAGAAGCACTTGGGTTGATTGTTGAGATGGTAAAAGCAAAACGAATGGCTGGAAGAGCTATTTTACTTGCAGGAGCACCAGGGACTGGTAAAACAGCATTGGCACAAGCATTAGCAAAAGAATTAGGAGAACATGTTCCATTTAGAGCAATGGTAGGGTCAGAAGTATTTTCATCTGAAATTAAAAAAACAGAAGTATTAATGGAGAATTTTAGAAGAGCAATTGGGATAAAAATTACAGAAATAAAAGATGTATATATTGGAGAAGTTAAAGAAATTAGTCCAGAATTTCAACCAAATGCTGTTGGAGGATATGGAAAAACAGTATGTGGAGTAATTGTTTCATTAAAAACAAATAAAGAAACAAAACAATTAAGATTAGACCCAGGAATATATGATAAATTACAAGTTGAAAAAGTTGCATTAGGAGATGTTATTAGTATTGAATCAAAATCAGGTGATGTTAAAAGAATGGGAAAATGTGATAGTTATGCTTTAGAACATGACCTTGAAAATGATAAATTTGTTTCACTTCCTAGTGGTGATGTACATCAAAAAAGAGAAGTAATAACACATGTCTCATTATATGAATTAGATGCAGCTAATATTAAATCACCAAATGGAGTTGATTCTTTTGGAGGGAAAAAGATTGAAATGACTGATAAATTAAGAAGAGAAGTTAATAAAATGGTTAATAAATATATTAGTCAAGGAATTGCTGAATTAATTCCAGGAGTGTTATTTATTGATGAAGTTCATATGTTAGATGCTGAATGTTTTGCATTCTTAAATAGAGCATTAGAATCAACATTAGCACCTATTGTTGTATTTGCTACAAATAGAGGATTAGTCCAAGTGAGAGGAACAGAAGACTTTGCACCACATGGAATACCATTAGATTTATTAGATAGATTATTAGTAATTGTAACAAAACAATATACTCTTCAAGAACTTTTAAAAATTATTAATATTCGTGCAGGAGTAGAAAATGTTGAACTATCAGAACAAGCATTATTATCATTAGCTGAATTAGCAACACAAACATCATTAAGATTCACTCTTCAAATGTTAACACCAACATCTATAGTAGCAAAAACAAATGGTAACATAGTAATTCAAAAAGCTGATGTTGACATGGCAATTTCATTGTTTGCTGATGCAAAAAAATCAGCAAGTACTTTATAACAAAATTTTGATTGAAAGTATTTGTGTTTTTTATTTTTTTTTTTATTTAAATCATTTAATGAACTTAAAATAATATAATATTAATTTATGACAATGAAAACTCTTTTTTATCTATTGATACTTCTTATTTTGTGTTGTGATGGTAAAAAGACAAATAAATATGATGAACAAACAGTAAATGATCTTGATCAAAGAAAAAAAGCATTTAAATCATTTGAAATAAATGAAAGAGATTTAAAAGATGATAAAGTATATTTTAAGAAGTTAAGAACAACAATGAAACGATATAGAAATTTAGATGATGCAAAAAGAACACTTGAACGTATTATTAATAAAAGACTTATAAATCAAATAGAACAACATCAAAAGTCAATGCCATTTATTTCAACACCAAATCCTAAGAGTTATAAAAAAATGGTTCAAGTAAAAACAAGAGATATTTTAAATAACTAAATTTTTATGTTTATTTCTTTTTGTTTTTTGTTTTTAATTTTTTCTTTTTATTTAACTTAAAAATGAGACGTATTAAGTCAGAAATGACTGACCCAATAATTGTTTCTTATTTATCAGATGGTGTATTACTTGAAAAAGAAGGAAGAACAAAATTATCATTCAAATATGAGGAAAAAATATTTGAGCAAAAACCACTTAATGGACAATTATTACAACAATATAAATTTGATGAACTTATGGGATTTATCACACTACCAAATTGTGTTGTTTGTATCGGTATTAAAGGAATAAAATGTGTAGAAATTAATAGACAAGTAATAAGAAATGTGGTTGATATTAAAGTTCTTCCTTTGATTCATCCAACAATAAAAAATGATTTATACAAAACTGACAATAAACTCATACAAGATATTAAGAAAATGCTTGATGATTGTTTATTGTATTATAGTTATGATATGAACATAACATTATGTTTTCAAGAAATGAAGAAACAAAATAAAAAAATAGATGATAGATTTTATTGGAACAAAAGTATGCATAAAATGATTGAAGGATTTAAGGAATGGAAAATTATTTTTGTAGATGGGTTTATTCGTTCAACAAAATTTGAATATGGAATTAATTATGTTTTATTTTCAAGAAGGGATTGTTCAAGAACTGGATTAAGATTTTCTTCAAGAGGTGGTGATATTAATGGGAATGTTTCTAATTTTGTTGAAACAGAACAAATAATTGAAAAAGATGGAATGATTTCTAGCTTTGTTCAAATACGAGGAACTATTCCATTAATTTGGAAAACAAATGAAGAAGATACTTTCCGACCTAAAGGGAAATTTTATCAAACAATATATCAAGATTGGTGCATTACAAATCATTTTGAAAAATTAAAACAAATATATGGAGATGTTATTGCTATTAATTTATTAGATAATCATGGACCAGAAAAAGTATTACATGATATGTATGAATTTTATTTAGGACTTAATAATAAATTAAAAGTAGATTATTATGCGTTTGACTTTCACAAAGAATGTGCAAATAATAAATATGAAAATATAAGATATTTACTTAATTCAATTAATAAAAGAATGATGACATTTAATTTTTTTACAATTAATAATGAAGGAAGAATTTTAAAACAACAAAATGGTGTAATAAGAACAAATTGTATTGATTGTTTAGATAGAACAAATGTAATACAATCATGTATTGGTAAAATGATTCTTGAATTACAATTAAAAGAATTTAATGTTCAAAATCCACAATTAACAATTTCAATAAATACAGACTATATGAATATTTGGGCAGACCATGCTAATCAAATGAGTTTTAGATATACAGGAACTAAAGCAATGAAAACAGATTATACTAGAAATGGTAAAAGAGGATTTAGTGGTGTTTTATCTGATGGAAAAACATCAGTCAAAAGATCATTTATTTCTATGACAACAGGACAATACCAAAAACCACAAGAAATGTTAAATTTATTATTAGGAAAAATATTTTTTTCAGAACAACAAGAGTCTTGTGAGAGTGTAATTTTATGCATTCGTAATGTATTAAAAACAGATATTTCAATGAAAAAAGCAAATCAAACAAAAGTTCATATTCATATTACAAAAACACATTATACTGAATATTTAATTGAAAGTGGACTATGTATTTCTATGTTATTAGATGATGTTATTGCATGTGATATCACCCATGATCCAAGAATATTATTATTATATACTAAAACAACTAGTTTACCAAAAATGTTATTTATTTCTGAAATATCATTATCATATCAACTTGCATTTCAATTAAATAAATCAAGACTAATCACACCACCACCTGGATTAAATCTTCTTGATATTGGAAATAATTCATCATCATATTTATTACCTTCTTTATCAAAAGAAATTAATGTTCGTTTTATAACATGGAATATGGAAAAAATATTAATTCCACCAGATGGTGCATTATTAAATGAAGTTATGAAAGAAAATGATAAAGATATTATTGTTCTTCAATTAAATAAATGTAATTATGATCCTTCAATGTTTATTGGAGATTATCAACCACCATTTGATTTATTTAAAAATATTTTTTTATTACTTAATGCAGTAATATCTCCATATGTATTAGTTGCTGTTCATACAACAGATATTATTGCTCAATGTGTATTATTAAAAAGAGAAAAATATAAAAAATTACATAATGTTGAAGTTAGTAATGTTTATTTTGAGAAATCTAAACCACAAAAATGGTCAAAACTAAAGTGTTGGGGAAGTGCAATTTTATTTAGTATAAATGAAACTACATTAGCCTTTTTAGCTCTTCACCCTTTACAAAATATTCAAGGAGATGAATCAATGTTTATTAAATCACAAATAGATCTTAATACAGATGTTCAAGAAATCTTCTTTACAATTTTTGAACAACCTCCATTGAATAAAATACCTTCTTTTGATACAGCTATAAGACGTACAAAAGCATTTGCATCAAATGGTATTATTTTTCAAAGAAGTATTTGGGATTGTATTGACCCTACAAGTAGACATTTATTACAAATAGAATCTCCTTTATTAAATGAAGGAAATGAAATTGATTTAAAAGATAAAACTTTTCATAATTGTGTTACTTCAACATTCTCTTTTAAAGATTTTCCAACACCATCTTTTGTTGATTCTTCAACTCTAAAAGTTAATATAGACAATATTCATTTAAAATTAACATCTAAAATAGATAAACCTTTATTATTAACATTTAATTCAAAAGTTCTTTCTTCTGTTGTTACTACATTATCTATATCTCCAAAACGTTATGAAACTAATTTTATACAAACTGTGTTAACTCTAAACCATTTTAATTTAGATGTATTAAAAAGATATTGGATTACTTGTATTATAACAGAAAAAGAACATGAAATTGGAAGATTTATTCTTCCATTAACATTTATTATTACAAATCAATATATTGAAAAATGTATTGTTTATCATAATAGAAAAAGAGTTGGGGAATGCTTAATTCATTTATCTAAAGATCAAAAACATCAAGCACAACAATTAGAACCTCAACCTCCTTTTAATTCATTATTATAAATGAAATAATTCATAAAATTAAATCATTTTTCGTATCTATTTCTTAGTTCTTTGAAGAAACTAAAAATTTAAAAACAACAATGAATAATGAAACTCCCTTAGAAACAACAAATGATCTCAAACAACTTTATGAAATTATTCATAATAAAATAAACATAGAAATGAGAGAATTAGAAGAAATGACAAAAAATCTTGAAAAGAAAAAAAGAGATATAACTGAATTAACTCAAAGTTACTTAATAGCAAAACAAAATGCAGAAATGGAACAAAAAAAAGTAATTAGTGAAAAAAAGAAGAATAAATCTTTAAAACAAATAACATCTATTAATCAACAAATATTATCTATTAATGAAGAAATAGAATCTTGGATCAAAGAAAATAATATTGATTTTGATATTACTTCTTCTGATAATACTTTCTAAAAACAGAGTCTATACATTCTTTAAATCCAAATATAATATTCAGAATGATTAAATACTTTTTTAATATAATTAAAATTATTGTATTATTCCTTTCATAAATTTTATTGGTTATAACTTCTTATAACTTATTTCTTATATTCATCTTTATTATTTTCAAATCAATACATTTGATTTAAAACTAAATTTCTTTATTGTTAATTTTATTTTATTTCAATTTAATAACTCTAATATTCTTTTCTTAATTCTTTGTTTTTTTTTTTATTTGAATTAGTCTTATCTACTTCTAATTAATTAGTCAAATAATTCTATTATACACTCTTTCTATATCCCTAGAACCAACAACAAATAAAACTCTTTTAAATAAAAACAAAATACTTCTATTTACTGCAATGAAATAAATAATTATATGCATCATAATTATTCTTTTAAATTTTATCGTTTTAAGTCATAATAATGTTAAAAACTCTTTTAAAAATTTGTAGTCTTCTTTCTTTCATTTTCATATTGAAAAATTAATGAATAAAATTTAACCATATACCATTAAACAAATATACTAAATTATACCTAATTCAATTAAGTTGAATCACATTAATTTTAGTTTATTCCATAGAAATGGTTTGTTCAATCAGAAATATTGAAATATATATTTTATGAAGAAATATTTTATAATAACATTTGAAAATAATTATATAAAAAGTAATTCTAAGTCTCAAATTCATTTAATATGATGTGGGTTACTAACAATAAATAGGGACAGTTGTTTAGCTACGAAGAAGTAATGAAAATAAAAAGAAAAAACATTTTTGTATTGAAAATGAACAAACCCTTATATTCAAACCCTTTACATCTCTAATGAATCAAAGAGAGAATGTCTACTGAGATTAAAGAAGTTAAAACACCTCAACAACAACAAAAGAAAGAAAGAAAGCCAAAACAAAAGGCACCTAAAGTAGATAATGAAGGAGCTAAAATTGATACAAGAAAAAGACTTGATAAAGAAGGAAATTTCCCAGAATGGTATTCTCAAATTGTAGTTCAATCAGGATTGATTGAATATTATGATATCTCAGGATGTTATATTTTAAAACCATCTGCTTATGGAATTTGGGAAAATATCCAACATTTTATGGATGCTAGAATTAAGAAAATGGGAGTTGAAAATGCATATTTCCCATGTTTTGTTTCACAAGCTACTCTTAAAAAAGAAGAAGATGAATTAAATGGATTTACACCAGAAGTTGCTTGGGTTACTAAATCAGGACAATCTGATCTTCAAGAACCAATTGCATTAAGACCAACATCAGAAACAATTATTTATCCAGCATTTAAGAATTGGATTTCTGGACATAGAGATTTACCAATCAAAGTTAATCAATGGTGTAATGTTGTTAGATGGGAATTTTCACATCCATATCCATTTATTAGAACACGAGAATTTTTATGGCAAGAAGGTCATACTGCTTTTGCTACACAAGCTGAAGCAGAAAAAGAATGTCATGAAATTCTAGAATTATATGCATCTGTTTATGAAGACCTTCTTGCTGTTCCTGTTATTAGAGGAAAAAAATCTAAAGGAGAAACATTCCCAGGTGCATATTATTCATTAACTGTTGAATGTATTATTCCAACTAATGGAAGATCAGTACAAGCAGGAACTTCACATCATCTTGGACAAACATTCTCTAAATTATTCCAAATTGAATTTGAAGATGAAGATAACAAGAAACAACTTGTTTGGCAAAATTCATGGGGATTATCTACACGTTCTATTGGTGTTACTATTATGACACATGGAGATAATAAGGGTATTATTGTTCCACCACGTGCTGCACAAAAACAAGTTGTTATTATTACTCTTCACCATAAAGGATCTCCTAATGATGAGATGGATGCTAAAGCTGAAGAATTAACACAAGTTTTAATTGATAATGGAATTAGGGCATTTGCTGATACTAATGAAATGCATAAGCCAGGATGGAAATTTTCAGAATATGAAATGAGAGGTATTCCAATAAGAATTGAATTAGGTCCAAGAGATTATGAAGGAAAGAAAGTTGTTATTGTTAGAAGAGATAATGGTGCTAAAAGTGAATCAAGTTGGGAGGATTTAATTACAAACATTAAAAAGACTATTGATGAAATGCATCATGATATGTATGAAAAAGCACTTAAAGCAAGAGATGCACATGTAGTCAAAATTTCTACATGGAATGAATTTATGGATAGTCTTGATAAGAGATGTTCATGTTTAGCACCATGGTGTGAAGGAGAAGAATGTGAAAAGTGTATTAAGACTAGATCAGCTGCTGAATCAATTGAAAGAGCTAAGAGTCAATCTGATAAAGAACAAGCTATTTTAACAGGATCTGCTAAAGTACTTTGTATTCCATTGAAACAAGATCCACTTCCAGAAGGAGCAGTTTGTTTCCAATGTGGAAAGAAAGCAACTACATACGGATGTTTTGGAAGGTCATATTAATATGATTGTTTCCATTTGAGGAAGTAATTTAAATTTAATATATTTTATTATTTTTTTATTTGAAGAATAAAAAATATAAAATAAACTTTGAAAGACACGAAAAAAAAATTAAAGGAATAGTAAATACAAGATGCATGGCATTGATTACTCTTACGACTCAGGACAAGAAGTTAGTGAATCACTAGAAGAAACAATTGATAGTCATAGTGTTGATATAGAAAATGAACTTGAAAAATTAAATAATTTTATGTTAGAACGGATTGAATGTCAAAAAGGAATTGAGGAATGGAGAAATGCATGCGACCATTTATCATCATGTTTTGAAAGAGGGGCAATGATAGAAGCTCAAGAAGAATTTAACTCTATTATATTAAGTGATATTGACCCAGAAGTTTTTAGTAAATGTGTTGATTTTATGAAGATGTGGACTACACAAGAATTTAATGAGAATGCAATGTATGGACTTAGAATGCTTTGTGGAGCTTTATCAAGTAAAGCATTACAAAGTGTTGATGTAAAAACAGAATTAATTAATTGGATATGTCAAAAAGCAGATTCATTTGAGAAAAAAGCATTTTGTTATGCTATGATAATATTTGGAATAATTGTTATACGAGATGATATGTTGGATAATTGTACTGAATTTAGAGAAAGAGTATTACTTACCTTTATTCATACCAATGGATTTACTATTGATAATCAAGGAAATATTAGTAATAATATTGATGCATTAGCACAAAACGGAACATTTGAAGATAAAGAAATTAATTTATTTGATAGTAGTACTGATGTAAAATGTTCAGAAATATCGAATGAATTATGGGAATTATTGGAATTAAAAGGATGTTATTGTTCAATGAAAAGATTTCCAAATGACGTTATTAATTCTGTAGGAACACCATTTATTCAATTTAACAATAATATAAAAAATAAAATCAATAAAGTTACATCAGGAATTATTGTAACAAGAGATGATATTAAATGGGAAAAAAATGAAGAATTAATGAATGAAGAATATGTATTACAACAAAGAATTCAAATGAGTTTTATTCTTTATAATGATTATTTATATAGTGAAGCAATGTATTTTATAGGAAATATTATGTCAATGGCACAAGACTATTGTAAAGAATTAATTCAAGGATTTCCATCAGAAATAAATACAATAAATGAACAACGATTAAATGGACTTTTAAATATGTTTACAGGTATTGTTTATGAACATCAAATTATTTCATTATTACATGATTATAGAGCAAAAGCAATTAAACAATTTATTATTAATTGTGTTGATTCATTAACTTCATTATTAGTCTTAAGACAAAAAGCAACATTAGGTGTACTTAAACTTCTTCTTTCTATCCCAGATAATTTTGATATTATTGTAGATACTAATATATTAAAACAAGTTATTATTTATGCATCATCAAAATCTGAAGATAAAGATATAATTATTCCATGTTTTAGTTTTGTAAGAGACATTATACATGCTCCAATAATAAAACACTTTTTCACTACTCTTGGTTATCCAAATCAACCGTATCAAAGTGTTTATGTTTCTTCAACAGGAATTAGAGATTTATATTCTAAATTAATATATCAAACAAATGGAAGTATTGAATTATTTAAACATATATCAGTCATTCAAGCACTTGTAAAAAGTGGATTAATTAAGATATTTTGTAGAATAATTAATGGGATTAATATTAATTGTGGATATTATGAAGCTCATTGTAATGGAATGATTGAAATTCTATTTGATATTCTTCAATTTGCTTCTTTAGTCCCAGAGGCAAGTCAAGTCATTATGAATGAACCAAAACAAAAAAAGGTAGAGGGTGTAATGGAAGAAAAATTACAAAGTGATGAAGAAATTGATGAATTAAAAGATTCAAACATTGAATATACTAAAGAATTTAATGGACCTGCAATGTTAAAAACATTTATTGAAGATGTTAATATTTCACGAGAAATTATACTAAGTGTTACAAGAACAGTATTTCACTGTATTTCAAATAAAGAACAAAATCATCAAATTATTGAAACATTAAAGAAAAATGGATTTGTTACTGGATTAATGAATTTATTGGAATGTGAATTTGATGATAAATTAGATGTTGATATAGTCTATTTTTCAATACAAATTTTATTAATTATGTCTAAAGAAGATGATGGAGTTATGGCAATATTAAAACCATTAAAAATTGGTGAATTATGTGGAAAAGTATTACATAAAATGAGTGATAATGTTTCATTAGAAAGTAACAATGGAATTAAATTATTAATTAATGCTGCACAAAGAATGATTCAATTTATTACAAATGGAAATAATATTGAGAAAGAACATTATTTTATTAAACATATTAATTTATTAGATAGAATGGTTGTTGAATTTGATAAAAAAGATGCATTAACATTAGTTTACAATCATCTTCTTAAAGAAGGATTGATAAAAGCAGCAGAAACATTAAGACAAGAAGCAAAATTAAATTTAACAAACCAAAAATCTATTGATACTGTGACTTTTGATGAAGTTGTAAAAGATTATATCACTCATCAACACCTTCAATGTAAAAAATGTTCTACTATTATCCCTGAACAAAAAATTACTCAAAAACACCATTGTGATAATACTCATTGTAAAAATAATGAAATTTCATTAAATCTTGCACATAGATTAATGAATAGAATGTGTTATGGAAATAATACGATGTATGCAAACCAATATAATATGACGTTAGCATATAGTTCTAATTCAATTAAAAGATTTATTATTGATTCTCCTGAAGTTGATTCACAAGTAAGTAGTTTAGCAATTATTGATGATGGATTAATCGTTGGAACAAATTCAGGGGCATTAAAAATGTTTGAAAATGATAAAACATATTATGATTGGTTTGCTTATAATGGGGATGGAATTCATTCAATTGACCAATTAATGGTTAATGAAAAAAGAGTTTATGCTCTTAATGAAAATGGAAGTTTAATGACCTTTTTATTAACTGACCTTCAACAAAGAGATACTACAACTAATCCTATTAATCGAATTGAAGGATATGGTGCTTTTACTATATCTAATAATGGAGATATAATTTGTGGAGCAAGTAGAACAGAGAAAAAACTTGATCTAATTGATTCAGCAACCTCAGAACTTATTGAAACACTCATCATTCCTGATATTCCAATCACATCCCCACCAGTATTTTCTCCATGTGATTCATTACTATTTAGTTCAAGACGTCTATTTGATATGAGACAAAAAAATCCTATCTATACATTTGATTTTTTGACAAGTTATAATGGAGGGATGTTTACTTCTGATTGTCTTGATGTGTTGATTGACTCAGAATTGTGGGATCTTAGAATGTTAAAATTAAAGAAAACAACAGACTTATTAAATGGGTGTTATTCACGAGTTATTGATGATGACATTTTTGTTAGTTTTAAATATGATGAAACTGAAGAACATCAAGGTCATTCATTAGTATTTAACACAACCTTTGCTGCATTTAATATGGATTGTAAAATGATTAGTCGAACAGATGTTGTTGACTCATGCTTTGAATATTCAAAAGTTATGGGAGATGGATATATCAGTGGAATACCAGATGTGTCGATTAAAGCAAAGCAAGTTGGTGTGATTGTTAAAAAAGAACGTGCGAATGTATTATTATTTGAATACGCACAAAATAAAAGAAATTACTATGATAATTTAGAGTCAAGTGATGATGAACTTTCAAGTGATGATGAAATGTCATCTTCTGCTTTTGAAGAAGAGTATGAAAATAATAATATTTTTGGTAATGACTATATTAATAGTGAAGATTTAGGAAGTGATATGGAAAGAGAAATAGAATATAATAGAGAAATGGACCAGAGTGATGATGATTTTGAAAGTTCAAATGATCACCTTCATGAAGAAACTGATGGAGAAGATATTAATGATGATAATATTATGTCAGAAGATGAAGGTGATGATAATTATGTATACGATGGATTTATTTGTGATGATGAAGAACCAGAAGAAGAGGAAGAGTCTGAAATGTTATCAAAGAGTAAAGAAGATGAATAAGATAATTCTGATTGTTTGGTTTTTGAGGTTGTTATTGTTTTTCAAAGTTTAGTTAAGGCAAAAAAGAAATAAACACGAAATTCAGTGTAAAGAGAAATAGAAAAATTTTTAGTAATTACTTTAACACGTTATGAATAAGTTACACTGGTCAATTCTGAAAATAGATTAAATAAGAACTAGTAATTTGTAAGAAAGTAATTAAAAAGTGGGAAAAGACAGGAAAAATAAGAAAAGGCAGAGCGAAGATGAGAACTTAAAATTAAAGGGTTTATTTTTTTAAGGAAAGAAAGAAAAAAGAGATCTGAATGAACTGGAATGAACAAAAAATCCATTCGATAAATGTCACATAAAATTAATGTATCAGTAGCATCATTACAACCAAGCAACTTTGAGGGATGGGCAACTAAACAAGGAGGATCATGGAAGTCATGGAAAAGAAGATGGTTTGTAATTAAAGATAGAAAAATGTGGTATTTTGCTGGAAAGAATGACACTGAAGCAAAGGGATGGATTGATTTAACACCAGGAACTGAAGTAAAAGATTTAACTCAACCAGGACAAAAGAAAAAATTTTCTTTTTCAATTAATTCTAGAGGAGTTAAAGGTGAACGTGAGTTCTTAATTTTTGTTGAATCAGAAACTGATTTAAAAGGATTTCTTAAAGCAATTAATCAAGTTCTTTCAGGTGATAAAAAAAATAACACTTCAAATCCTATTCCAACACAACCTACATATGCACCACCTCCTAATGTTACATCTGTTTCAGAACCTATGGCACCACCACCTATGACACAATCATATGTTGCACCAGTAAATGAACCAACAACAACTACTCAACAACCATATGTTCCACCAGTACCTCAACAACAATCTATTTCTTCACAAACAACAGGTAATTCTTCATCAAATTGGGCATTAAATATTCCAGGAAATATACCAAACAAAATTGGAACACAATCAATTGATACAGCAAAAGAAATGTTTAAATGGTTAATGTCAAATAATCCAGAAGGAGTTCTTGATTTTCTTGGTATTTGGAAAGATTCATTACCAACTAACACTGATATGGAAGCTGGAGAAGTTGCTAAATTAACGTTATGTGTTTCTGCTGACACAAATAAATTAAGTTGGAGAGTTGATGGACCTCAAGGAGCATTAATTCAAAAAATGGTAGATTTCTTTTGGAATGTAGGAGCACCAGAGGTTGAAATTGACAGATTAAATGATTTAGGAGCAGAAATCAATCCATTTTTCATTGGTTCATGGATTGATATGAGTCAACAAGGAGGAATGGATGGTGGATGGTTCTTCCCAGTTGATACAGAATTATCTATTGGTAAAAATGCAGGAGATAAAGGTAATGGAAATAGTGCATTGGATGTGTTAGTGCAATGGGCTGAACAACATGGAATGAATTCTATTATTTCTGTTGGAAGAGATATGGGAGCTACACCACCTAGACAAACAGACTTTAAATTTAAAGTAGTTGGACCAAATCAAGTTAAATTAACAGTAATTAAAGAAGCATGTTCAACATTTGGATTTCCACCTATTTCTAATACATTAGAAGAAGTTATTTGTAATTTAGGAAACTCAATCTCAGAAATCACATTGTCTATTATTACCTCTACTGATGGATTTGTTAAACTTGGTGTTATTATTCCACAACCAACTGCTGAAATTATTTCTAAACTTGTTGAAAGTGTTCCTGGTCATGAAATTTCTATACACCAATCGATGTTAAATTCATTTGGACAACCAATAGCTGTTGAATATTCATTTTTGAATAAAGGATTTGGATTTGAAGTATACAGAGAAGGAGTTGATGTTCATATCTATTACAATTTGGGAGCTATTACTACTAATTGAATTTAAAATCATTCATTCCATAATTTTTATTCCTTTTTTATCTTTATGTCTTATCATTCTTCTTTCATTGTTAGCTTTCTTCATAACACTAAAATATTCTAAATGTTCCTTTGATGGAATGTTTTGAATGTTCTTATGATTAGAACTGAACTTGAAATTTATTACCAAAAGAGACAATGTCATTTAGAATTACTAAATATGAAAATGGACAAAGATTAGCTATACATAATTCTCTCAGGAAACAAAGAAGACAAAAACTACTTCAAAAATTAAGAAATGAAAATGAATTAAAAGAGTTAGGATTTAGTGATGAGTGCGTTTGTAATTTTTCTTGATTATGTACATAAAACACAATTAATACAATCATTGATTAGGTTATAAGAAAAGGAATCAATATGGTTCTGAGTAATGACCTTACAGGTATTGATTTTATTTATCAAATTCTTTATGACAAAGAAGTAAAAATTGACCAAAGTCTTGTTAATTCTATGATTCAATGTTTTGTTCCTTTATTCCAACAAAACAGTAATAAACTAATAATGGTTTTAAAAATTCTTCATCAAACTTCTCTTGGGATTACTTATCAATCTGTAGAAATACTCAAACAAACTGGAATTGTATCATTTTTAATATCAATTATAATCAATCAATTATCATCAATTAATATCACCTTTTTTATTGAGTCATTACATATATTAGCATTACTATTTCAAGCTCAAATACAACTACGAAATGAATTGTTAACTGAAGAATTTATCAATAAGTTTTTATCTGTTGCTCAAGAACTTATTAATTGTGAAGATGCTCAAGTCTTTAAGGCTATTGGCAGTTTTTTAGCTTCATACACTCATCAATTACCATTTCAATGTGAGTCTATATCAATAAAAATATATGAAATTGCTCACGAATTGCTCCAACGATCCTTTGGAGATGTAATGGCAATCATGTTGATTGTAATGAAACATACATCAGAGTCATTCCAAAGAATCATAAAGACAGCATTAGATAATGGAATTATGCAACAATTAGTTAGTATAATTTTGTATGACTCAGACAAATGTAAAGAGAGAGTTCTAAAGATGGTACTGGTATGGTGCAAGAAATGTGATTCATTGTGGTTATCAATGAACTCTTTTGTATTGGCAATATTCAGTTATTTAAAAGAAGCTTCAAATGATATTCTTATTGAAATGATATATTTTCTTAAGGAATTATTCCTGTTTGAACAATACTTACCATCGTATTTAAAATTACTTAAAGAAAATATTGACGCACTTCAATTTCTCATTGCTTCTATTCGTTCAAAATATCTGAAAATTCAAGAACTTTCATTGGAATTTGTACATCAAATATGCTTGTTAAATGATTGTCAGTTGATGGAACTTGCAATCGACAATGGAATGGTAGAGAATGTAGTTGACAGTTTAACAAATGAATGGATTAAGAATGATGGAAGAATGGTAAGTATAGTATTAGAAAGTGTTTTGAATAGTTTCAAGGTTTGAGATAGTTGAAAAGAAGGAAGAGAAAGAAGATTAACGAAGTAGTGTAGTTTAGAGAGACATAAAGGGATAAGTGAGGGGATTGAAAATCGAAATGGATGGATGAACATAGGAATGGTTGATGGTAAGAGTCAAAAGACGAAAGAGATAGTTGAAAAGATTAAAGGGATGATAGAAGAAGAAAGACGAGGGGAAGAGATGGAGATGTGTGAGATTTAAAGCAAAGGAAGGAAGAAGATAAGAGAATTAGAGAATAACAAAAACTAAATGAAAGAAAAGAATGAGTTCTGCATAATACTAAATTGGCACAGAAAAAAAAAACAAACTAAAATAAATGCATTCAGCACAGACATATTCGTTAGTAAAAAAAAGAAATAATTTTTCATAACACATTTATTTTTAATGTTAAAAATAACACTAACAATGAATAAGTTAAAGTAATTTTAAATAATATTTGAGTTTTATAAAAAGAAGAATTATTTTATGATACTTTTATTCAACCATTATTATAGAATAATAATATGACTTTTGAAGTTTTAAAATGCGTTTTAAAAGAAGAAAAACAAATAAGATATGTGATTGGAAATTAAGTATGATTATATTGCATAACTGGAAATGATAAAAAGTTAAATAAAAGATGTTTAAAAAGATGTTTTAAAAAAACCAATTAATAAATATGAAATTAAAATACAGAGATAATAAATTGTTTATGGTAAATATCAAACAACAAGATTAATATATTTTCATTTTCCATTTTATTGTATTAATAAAATAATATTATAAGATTAAAGATGGCATATCTAAAACACCACATAAATATTAATACAAATTCAAGCATCGACTCTCCCAGTTATTATCTGTTTATGACAGTGTATTTGAATTAGAAATGTATTAGGTAAAACTGCAAAGGGTGGAGCAAGATATTATGATAGAATATTACATGGTGTAATATAAGGAAGTACTAAAGTGTGGGTAAGACTAAAAGAAAATTAAACATAATAATATAATGGGAATGAAATACTCTCTTCTCTCATTCATAAAATAAAGAAAAAAAGAAAAAGAAAATGTTTAAAATTAAGACAGAAAATAAACTAATGGTTAAAAAGAAGGAATAAGCAGAAGAAGGATGAGAAGAAATTAATAGGAAAAAATAAAACAAAGAAGTGATTTTCTCAATTTGCAAGAAAAACATAAATGATAAGTTAAAGAAAAAGATTCCTCTTTTTTAAACAGCTCAGTAATGTTATTAGTCTTTGCTGAACAAGAAAGAATATATGAAAATCTATTACCAGTTAATTACCTAATTTTTATTGTATTTACCTTGTTTTTTATTTGTTTTTATTTGTATTATCCTCTTTCTAATCCTTTTTTCCTTGGTATTTCTTTTACCATTATTATTGTTATTCCATTTATTGCTATTGACATTCATTCTTTTATATCACTTTGAATTTCTATGTCTTGTTTGGTTTTCTTTTCAATACACAAAGATTTTACACAATATCCATGGCATTAAAATATGTTGTATTTCCTGCATTGGAAAAAAAAGGTCAAATATTAGATATATCCTCAATTGGATTTTCTTCATACTGAGAAGTGATTATTTCAGTTTCTTCAATATGCTCTATTGGTGTAATAGAGTTCATTTCTAGCATGCTCGCATTAGATTTCCTGCATTGGAAAAAAACCTAAAAATAAAAAAAATATGAAAAATGAATAAATATGAAAAAAGGAAAAAAAAACTAATCAAAAGGAAAAAATTTAATAAATAATATTAGATCAAATGATCTCAAAAAAGAAAATTAATTGATAATGTTGGTTTTCTTAACAATAGTCATTAGTCTTGTTAACGCTCAATTTACTTGTACAGATGCTATTAACTTTAATTTGCCAACTTATTTTGGAAAAGCAAGTTTTGGATCAAATACATCAGTTTCACAAATTATTGATGCAAATGGACAAACCCAAACAGCTTATGGTATTTATTATAAAGCAACTGCTCCTGATGACTTTGACAATACAGTTATTAATATAAATACCTGTGATGCTTCTACTGTAATTCCATCTGAAATACTTATTTTTGAGGGGTGTTCTTCAGATGGTGTTGCAAGTAATTTTAAGACAATTTCTGGAATAGATAATGGTTGTAGTCTTGCTTCAGATTTTCCAGTTATTGATTTTGAAATTAAAAAAGGAGTTACTTATTATATCCTTGTAAAATTAGTTAATCCAGATGACCAAGGAGTAGTTTCTTTCAGTATCACTTCTTGTTTGTTTTCTTTTTTTAAACAAATCCCAAATTCATCATTACGATTTCAATAAATAGTAAAACAGAAAAATTAAACTAATTCAAAAATAGCTCATGAAGACAATCCTAATGTTGAGTGCAATGTTGCAAAAGAAGTTCCTCAAGTAAGATTTGTTGATAGAGGGTTGTTATTAAAGAGTAAAGTCCCTGCTAGTAAACCACTTTGTTATAAACAAGCATACCCTACATTATGGTATAAAATTAAAGGAGATGGTAGATATTTAGTTGTTAATACCTGTAATTATTACACCAATTTTGATACACATCTTGTTGTTGTTAAAGAGTTAAATAATTTAGTTTGTACTAATGCTAAATGTATGAAAGAAGCAGATGATGGTTGTGGAAAATCATCAAAGTCATCTATACTTGCTTTTAAAACAGAAGTTAATGAAGTGTATTATATTGGGGTTAGAGGTAATCTTGGTGAAGAAGGACAGTTTGAAATTTCTATTGACTATTTATCTGAGTCAATTCCAGCTACTTGTACCAGATCACTCCCAATTAAATTACTTCCATTTACAAGAACTATTGATATTCCAGATGCATGGCCAACACAAGCAGGTGCATGTTTAGATGAACAAGAACATAAATCAGTGTATCTAACACTTGAAGGAACAGGAAGTGAGGTAGTTATTTCTACATGTAAGTCACTTGATTCTAGTTTAAAACCAATTGGAGTTTCTGTAGAATTAATTAATAATTGTGAAGATGAGAATTGTGCATTTGATGGAAGTGAATATGGAGAATGTGGTGAAAATAATTATATTGTAAAGAAAACAGAAAAAGGACAAAACTATTATATTAAAGCATACTGCAATACTGGTAATTGTGAAATAACTCTTTCTGTTTACGAAAAAGCTAGTTCTCATGACACATGTGAAAGTGCACGTGAATTAATTAGACCAACACAATACAGTGAGATTGCTGATGTTAAAAGACTTCAAACTTCTATTCATGGATGTCATTCTGTTGCAAAGACTGATGCAGGGTTATGGTATTTGTTAAAACGTAGTTCAGACATTGTTAATGAAAAGTATACAATCCTTGGTATGAGTGCTACACGATCAAAGATTGCTTGGATTGAATTTCCATATGAATGTGGACTTATACAATGCGAACAATTAATTCAAGGAGAAGCACATTTGTCATTTGCTAAAGAATCACAATACATATTTGTTTATTCCAATAATGATTATGGACAAAAAGGTCTCATTGTTCAATTTATTTCAGAAGAAGAAAATTATTATCATAATTGTCCTGATGCTATGTTTATTACCCTTCCATTTACTGCAATTCATTCATTTGATAATTCTGCTGCACAATTATTATGTTCATCTAAATCAGCCGCATCTAGTTTTTACCGATTTGTTTTACCAGAAGATCAAAAAGTTGATGTGTCTACATGTTTCCCTAAGACAATTATCGATACAGGTGTTGAGATAACAACAGGATGTTTTGGTGATAGCGATTTGAGTGCTTCATGTATTGATTATAATTCAGAAGGAAAAGGCTGTGTTAACGGAGCTGCAGCAATGTCAGTCTCATTGAAAGGGGAACAACAATATTATCTTAATATTTATTCTGAGTCTAAATCAACCTTGAATTTAAAGCAATACAGATTTGTTATTTTCACTGAAGAAGTACCAAAAAACTCTGTTTGTAATAAAGCAATTGAGTTACCATATGAAGATGGATATTCTGAATATTTAGTATTAAATAGATATTCAAAAGAAACTAATTTTGGTAGTGAATATGGAATTACAAAAGGTAGTTGGTTCCATATTAATGTTATGAAAAAAACTAGTGTAACTGTTAGAACATGTTCTCCTAGTACTACGTCTGACTCTTTGATTGTTACTGCAAATGAATGTTATGTTACTCAACAAAACAGTAAAGAAACGTCTAATCCAACAGAATTAGAAGATATTGCTGTAAGTGGAATTACTAATTGTGACATTCATGGTACTTATCTTACTTTCAATTTAGAAGCAAATCAAAGTAAATTCATCTTTGTTGGACCTCAAAACTTCAATGACGAAGCATTTATTGGAGTTGAATTTTATATGAACTCTCCAGACGATGATGATGACGACAATGATGGTAGTTCTAGTTCTCAAAAACCAACAGAAAGTAGTGGTTCCAATAACAACAATAAAGATGATGATGATTACAATAACAGTACAACACCGATTGGATGGATTATTTTTGGAGTTCTTTTCTATGTTCTTTTTGTTATTGTGCTGATTATTACTATTATTGCCATTAAAATGAAACGTAAAAATTCTGGATATGCTACTTTAGTTTAAGTGAAAGTAACTAATTGAAAAAGAGGTTTAAATTAAAAAAAATTGTTTTAAATTATTTTTGGTTTTAATATCATAACTAAAATTGAAAGTTAACAACACACACCGCCATTTTGTTGTTCTTCAATTTGATGTGAATCATTTTTTTGAAGTACTATTGGTTCGTCAATCTTTTCTATTTCTTTTGGAAGGGTTTCTACTAACATCCTTTGCAGACGTAATTCTCTAATAACAAATTCAATGATATTATCAATGTTTATATTTCTATATGGTAAATTTAATAAGTAAATAAAAAAAAATTGATTGGAACAAACTCTTTTGCACTACATTCAAAATAATTGATGTTATGACTTTTAGCAAAGTCTTTTGCATCTTCTGGTGATACTTGTCTTTCAGCAATCATATCATTTTTATTGCCAACTAATACTAATAATGTCTTTTTATCTTCGTTTTGAATCTCATAAAATACTTCCATCCAATCCTCAATATGTGTAAAAGATTCACTATTTGTTACATCAAACATAAATAAAATACAATGACGATTTCTAAAATAAGTTGCAGTTGTGGAACGAAACATTTCTTGTCCTGCTGTGTCCCATAATTGGACGTTATATTGTTTTCCATCTAAAATCAATTTTTTACAAATTACATCACAACCAATTGAAGAAGCAGTATTTGGGTTAAATTCACCACTAGAAAATCTCTTGAAAAAACAAGTTTTCCCAACAAACGCATCTCCAGAAAGAGCAATACTTATCATTAAATTTGACATATCACACTTAAATATTTTAAGTTCTATCTAATAAAGATAAAGAATCTTTAAGAAGTGTATTTCTTATATAAATAATTAAAAAAAATAAAAAATAAAAACTAAATTATACTTAAAAAGATTATTCATCTTATTACAACAGAATAAGTAAGACTTCTTAATGGCTCTTTTCCTTTTTCCCATGGTCTTGAATAACCTAATTTAATAGTTGTTGTTCCAACTTTTAATGGTTTTAATTGAATTTCTCGAATACTTGGGAAACCTACCATTCCAGAAGGATGAGGTTCTGCTTTAATTGTGTCTTGGCTTAAAGAAAAGGTGTCAGTTGGGTATTCAATATTCCAAGCATATCCTGTTGATGGATTTGTTCTAAGTTGAATTTTGATTAAGTCATTAAAAGAAATATGAAGAGTAGCATGGTCTTCTTTTTCAGTTAAAATATGGATTGCAGCATAAGTCGAAGTGCAAAGTAATGCAAAAAAGATAAATTGTTTCATCTTTGAGTTTAGAATTTTATTGAATTAAAAGTTATTTTATAAAAAAGAATAACAAAAAGAAAATAAACTTAAAATATAAGAAAGAAAAAATAAATGATGGTTTGTCTTGAACTTCCCTTTTTATTGAATGTTATTCATTATTTTGAAAGTAAAAATGATTTAGAAAATTTTATGATTATTAATAAAAAATGTTTGTCAACATTATTTGCACTAAGAGTAAATCCATTATTTAGAAATGACAATGACCTTTGTTGGCTTATAAATCATTTTCAAATAGAAACAATTGACTTCGGTGATATACCAATATCATCTATAGAACTTTTAATGAAAACTAAAAGAATAAGAAATCCTAATTTTTATCCAATTATTAAAAATGGATTGTTAAATGAATTAAATGCATCTGAAATATTCAAAAAAGTAACTCATTTAAAATTGTATAAAAGAACTGAAGAAGACCAGATAAATGAAATGAAAAATGTGAATAACTTAATATTAAAATATTATAAGAGTTTCATTCATTTAAATTATTTGGAAGGGGATTTAGAATTAGTATTATATTTTCTTTCAAGATATACCAATTATGGAAGGGAAAAGTTTATAAAAATACCATCAACATTATTAATTTATTCTTTAAATGGAAATGCAATTGAGTTAAAGAAGAGTAATATTGAATTGATTCAAAAAATAGAATCACTTATTCCTGATAATCAAATAATAAATTTTTATATTATTTTTGATAATAATGCAAAAAAAGAATTATTTAAAAGTCAAGTTACTCGTTCATGGTATAGAAGAATAAGTTATGAATTAAATGAACAATGGAATAAAAATGTAATTTGTGATGGTGGTTGTTGTATTCTTTTTAAACGATTGGTTGATAATTCAATGAATGAATTATTAAATAAAATGTATCCAAAAGAATTGATTTTTGAAGAAATAACTACTACAACAAAATGGGATATTCCATCATATATTACTACTATTCATATTAATTATTCTAGTAAAACTACTCATTGGAAATTTAAACCAACTTTAAGATTTATTAAAGAATTATTTATGAATCAAATTGATTTTATTATTATTTCATCTTCTCTAGAAAATCTTCAACAAATGTTCTTATGTTCATGTCAAGAATCAACATTTCAAAATTGTGAAATGAAGTCATTGAAAAGAATTAGAATTATAAATTCTTTTCACCTTAATTTTTATAAATGTAGTTATGGTAGTTTAGAAGAATTAACAATCATTAATAGTGGTGGTGTTCATTTCACTAATCTTATAAAGTCATTGAAAAAAATAGAGTTAGTAAATAGTAGAAGATTAACTATTCCTTTTGAACATGAACAAGATAATATCTTCACTTTTTATATCGAGTCATGTTCAGAAGTTCATCTTTCTCCAAATATACTTAAATTATTAAATCTTAAATCAAACCATCATGAGTTTTCTAATACTTTTTATTTCCCACCAATCAAAGAGTATCAAAACAAACATTTATTTACATTCAATAAATTTATTTCATTTTCAAATGATATTGAAGTAATTGAAGATTCTATTAGAAGAATCAAAGATAAAAATAGTATGGAAGAATATGATTTAATTGTTTCAAGAGACTTTGGAACATTTGCTAATTACTATAAAAAACAGATGTTTAGTACTATCCAAGGAGAGGTATATCATTTAAAAGGAATCCGTTATATTGAAATTACTGTTGTTGGTAATAGTTGGATTTCTATTGGATGTATTGATGAAGAAAATTATGAATGTACAATATCTTCTCAATTAGGTTGGTTAAAGAATAGTATTGGTTTTCATTCAGATGATGGAAAGGTTTATTTAGAATCAACTTATAAAACAATTGCACAAGGATTGGCTTATGGAAATAAAGTAGGACAGACAAATATAATTGGTATAGGATATGACTGCTTTAATGAAGAAATCTTTTATACAATTAATGGGTGTTTCTGGAAAAAATTTAAAATTCCTTGGAGAAATGTAGCAGTTGCAATTTCATTTGGAAAGTTTCATCCCATTCAAATTAATTCAGGAAGAAAGCCTTTTCTATTTGATAATAGACAAATATTTTCTGAATTACTATATAATAGCTAAATCAATAAAAATAATTCTAAAAAGGGATAAACAATTATAATAATTGTAACCCATTGTTCTCTACTTCTCCTTTATTAATACATTATTTTGTTGATAATGAAAAATAAGGATTTAAAGAATAAGAAAAATAATTTTATTAAAGAAATAATTAAATATTGGATATTTTTAATTTTTGTATATAATATCATTCTAATACTTGATTCTTTATAAATAAAAACAAAAAAAAAACGATATTTATTTGGTGAATTATTATTGAAAATTCAAAAAATAGATATATAATTAAAATGAGAGTTATGAATAATATTATAAAAAATTTAACTCACTTATTTTGTTTTACCAAGAAATAAATAACATTATTAGGTATTACAATACTTAATACTCATCTTTTGTATATTGAAACTTTTATTTTTTAAATAGGAATATTATTTATTTTTATAGACTTTATAACTTGTATTAATTTTCATCACATATTTATTTTAATTATTACATTCATAATATTCAGTAACATTAATCAATAAAATATTATTTCACCATATCAAATAATTTTTACTTTTTTATGACTTAGTGTTTGTTTGATACACTCTTTTAATAATCTTTATTCTCTTTTTGTAGTGTTTCTTTCTTTTATTCAGAATCTTTATTATTCATTCTGATTCATTTTTTGCAATTATTTTAAATCATTCAGAAGTAATATTGTCATTACTTTTTTTTAATTAACTTGTAGCCAATTAAGCATTACTGAATATATAATAACAAAGTGTAAAAAAAAATTTAAAATTAACCCCAGTGTCAAAGAAAAAGTACTCTTAATATTATTTACGTATTGTTGGGGTTTGAAGTTTATGCTCATTTTCATTGTAAAATTAAAACAACAAAATAGCTTTAGTTTTTAATACAAAATAATTTTGTATTAATTAAATTATTGGGATAAATCCTACTTTGAAATATACACCTTTATTATTTTTTTCTATTCTTTCAAGTAAGTTAGTTTAGTAACTTTGAAAATAACATTTTTATGATGTTTATAGACAATTAATAACTTGAAAAGTTATGATAATAAATAATTAGTACTATACTAATTATTGGTTATATTTTTGGTATTTACAGAGTTTTTGTGTTGAATGAAATAGATTTAATACATAATAATGCATAAAACAAATCAATGAACTATATTAAAACAAACCAATATAACACGTTCTAAGTGTTATTAAGAGAATAGAATGAAATAAATGTATTAAAGAAAGAGTACAAACAAAAGAAAGAACAAAGATAATGGAAGAATGAATAAAATATAATAAGAATTATGAGCAACAAAAAGAAAAAGAGAAGGAACTAGAAAAAAGGAAATAAAATTAATGGATAGAAGAGATGTTGAACGAGGGTATGATTCAAAGAAACAACGAAATGTTCAAGAACGTAAATACTCAGAAATTGTAGCATTAAAACGGTATAATAATTGGGTTAAAGCGTGTTTAATCAGAAAATATATTCCAGAACATTCAAGAGTATTAGATTTTTGTGGAGGGAAAGGAGGTGATTATATTAAATTTAATCAAAATAGTGTTAGGAGTGTATTAACATGTGACATTTCAGGAGAGTCATTAAAAGATGCAGAAAAAAGATATAAAGAAAGAGAGCCAGCATTTAGATTTAATTTGAAAACAATTAAAGAAGATTGTTTTAGTTCAGAATTGTTAAATAAAATACCAAGCAATAGTTCATTTGAAGCTGTTTCATGTCAATTTGCTATTCATTATAGTTTTGAAACAAAAGAAAGAGCTTATCAAGCAATTTTTAATTTAACAAAATATTTAAGAAAAGGAGGATTATTTGTTGGAACAACAGTCAATGCATATAGAGTAGTAAAGAAATTACGTACTGTTCCAGGAAATAAATTTGGTAATGAGTTATTTACTATTCGTTTTGATGAACAATTTGATAAAGAGAATATACCTACATATGGAGCAAAAATATTATTTTGAATTAAA